TGTTCGACGCGACGGCCGCCAAGCGCGCCGACGAGATGGTGCTAGGCACTCGAAGCCTCGTACAAGATCGGCATCCAGAACGCGACGTGGCTCGACGACGAGACGCGCGAGAACGGTATCACAAAGCTCTCCAAGTTTGTGCACTTGATCGGCGCGCCCGAGAACCCGCAAACCTACCCTGGCATCTCGCTCGACGCCAAGGACTATGTCGGCAACCGCAACAAGATCAACACGTTCGACACGGAGGCCAACCTCAAGATGATTGGCACGCCCGTCGACCGCAAGAAGTGGAGCTCTCCCGCGTCCGAGGTCAACGCGTGGTACAGCCCGCGCCTCAACTCGATCACGTTCCCGGCCGCCATTCTCCAGACGCCTTTCTTTTCGGGCAACTCTGACCCGGCGCAGAACTTTGGTGCCATCGGCATGGTCATTGGCCATGAAATCACGCACGGCTTCGACAACTCGGGCCGCAACTTTGACGGCGACGGCAACCTCAAGCCGTGGTGGACCGACGAGACCGCGATCAAATTCAACGAGAAGGCCAAGTGCATTGCCGACCAGTACAGCGGTTTCGTTGCCAAGAGCGAAGTGACCGGCAAGTCGCTTGGCAAGGTCAACGGCCGCCTGACACTCGGCGAGACGATCGCTGACAACGGCGGTCTCAAGACGGCCTTCCGCGCGTACCAGACGTACACGCAGACCAACCCGTCCAAGTTCACCAAGGAAGTCGGCGACAAGGTCTTCTTCCTCTCGTTCGCGCAGGGCTGGTGCTCCAAGAACACGGACAAGTACATTGAGCGCATGCTCAAGGACGTCCACCCGCCGGGCAACTTCCGCATCTACGGCGCCGTCCAGAACAACCCCGCGTTCGCCACGGCGTTCAACTGCCCTGTCAACTCGGCCATGAACCCGACCAAGAAGTGTTACCTCTGGGAGTAAGCGATAGGTCCTTCATGTATCTAACTTTTACTAAAAAGTATTGTCCACATTTTTGATCAACTCGTCGCCAATCTTGAAAGTGTGAGCTGGGTCTGGCCTTTGGAAACATAAAAAACGTGTCGTACATTGAACCCGAAAATGCTCCTTCATCCTGTATCCGACAGGACAATGCAATAGGCATCTCCGCGGTCCGGCTCGAGCCGTGGAGTCGACGGCGTGGTCGGTTTTGCCTCGGCTCAGGATCCATTTTCGAACCGACTCGAAGCCGAGGCGAGCCGGACTGTGGAGATGCCTACAATACACACAACGTCCGATATAGACTCAGGGATACGATTAAATACTCTTACGGTAGAGCCTTTACACCAAGCGTGGTGAGGCTTCGTAAATTTATGTACACTACGCAAAGGCCACGAGACGCCAGTGCTTGGCGTTCCAGTAGTCGTACACATCCCGCTTCACCTTGGGCTCGCGATCGGACGGCGCGGACTCGAGTGCGATGTTGGCTTGGCGAGACGTTTTTTATGTGTGTTGCATCGTACCAATGCATTTCAAACCTTACCCAGCACTGGAAAAGTGGTCGTGAGGCTCTTGACAAGCGTCGCGAGCCCTTCGGTGGAGGTGCTCTGAAGGTGGAGCGCGCGTAGGCACGGAGCATGCGCTAGCCACTGCAAGTCCTCCAAATCGGGGCTTGCACGTTGAGATACTGGAGCCTGGAGCAGTCGCACAGCTGTTGCGCGATGGCCGATCCATTCTCGTTGGGCAGTGTTTTTTGCTAAAGTTGCAGCAGCGAGACAAGCCGCGCCAGGAGCTCAAAGAGGCGCGATCACATCTCGGGTGCGTCACTAATTAGCCACAAGCGCACCGCCACAAGTCGACCCAAGGCCGAATGCACCTGCGGGTCGCTGGCCGCATGCAGAAGGAGGTAGCCCTCCAAGTCCGCCGCAGCGGTGAAAGTAGCATGCGACACAACAGACGCACGTTCTCGGGAATGTAGTCTTGCAGCACGACTTGCTCCCCATTGGCCCGTGCATTGACCGTTCGCCACACGTGTGCAATCTTGATACTGGTCAAGTTGTCTTCGAGGCGGACGCTGCGCAGACTGTACGGCAGCGTTCCTTGTTGCATGAAGCCATCGCCGACAATCGGTACGTTCTCAAGGACAAAGGTCCCGGAGACTCGAGCAAGACGCAATCGCGCGGCACAAGACCATGGCAACCTCGTCCGTCAGGTGGGAAACGTTGTTTGGACGAGATGGAGGCGCCGGCAACGAGCATCTCTGCAATGGCGGCTGCGACCGATGCGGGAAAATGCCCACGTAGCGTCAAGTCCGAGAGGTCGTTCAAGATCATCGTGATTCCAGACCATGCGTGCTCGTCGCGGCCGCACAAGTCGATGCTGCGCAGTCGTGGGCGCGTAGAAAGGGTGTGGCTGTAGCCGGCGCAAGACTTGTACATCGCGGACTACCTCGACCCGAAGCTGGCGCCAATTGCGATGGAGTGCGGCAGATGTTGCAGGATCTTGTTGGTGGGCGACCTGAGGGCCCAGATCTCGGGCCGTGCAACGTCGACGCTGGGAGTCGGGAGCAGGACGTGGAGCGCGGCCGTCGCTGGTGACGTGGCTGGAAGCGCTGCTCGTAGCTGCTTCAAGGTCCACTGGTGCGCAACGAAGCTCGCAATGCGCTCGATGAGCTCGGGCGTCGAGCTCACGGCCGATGCAGTGCGCTGTGGCGGGGACATTATGATTGGGCAATCAATTTGTCCAATCAAATCAAGCTATTTGATCGGATTTACCATTCATCTTTTTTCCTAACCGAATCCAAGATATGTCTGTTAGCAAGGTACGTCCGTCGGGAGAGGCGAGCATCGAGGGTCTCGGGTCTATTAGTGCAGTCTGGTGGTGCGGTGGCAGTTGGCTATTTCATTAAGAACAATCATGTGCTGTTGTCTACAGTAGATTTTCTACTCTGGGTACCATTTGTGCTATTGAAACACGAAAACTGTCGTTTCGACTGACAATTAGTAGATTGTTGTCATTCGGGTTTTTATCGGCTTTTACCGTACTTAACAAAGTATACACTTTGGGTCGCGCCAAGAAAGTGATGAAATTAACGTTAAGAGTGGTACATTTTGCCCCGTGAAAGTGATCTTTATGAATGGAAATGCAGTGATTTTTTTCAAAATGACCGACCAATAGAACGCAAGCCAGTCTACTCGGATAGGTCGACGGCCTACTGGTTGTCGAGGAGCGAGGCGTAGATGCAGTTCTCCTGAAAAACCTTGAGCCCGTCAAGCAGCTCCTCGGCGGTCTTGAACCGTGGGTCCTGGCCGTACTTTCTGAACGCTGCGCCGATGCCTTTGGTGGCTGCTTGGATGGAGTCGATCTCGCGTGTTGCCGTCTCTATCCATTCGAGGACACTTTCGCGAGGCACCTTGTACATTCCGCCGGGGCCGGGGTCGTTCCTGATCTTGAAGTCACATTACCGCCGCAGCCTTGAGTGTCTTGTTGATGATGAGGTCGCATACTTGGAGGATGCTCGTCAGACCCGCTGGGATGAAGGCGACTACGATGCCGAGCTCCACTGCAAACTTCAAGACCTTCTCACCCTTGTGGGCCGTGGCGAGGTCCCAGATGAGCCCGATGCGCTCGCCCTCATAGAGCTCGGAGAGCCACTCGAGGTAGTCCATGGCAGTATCTTGGTCCATCCAGTGCTTCTGCTGGAAGGCAACCTTCGCCTGGCCGTCCCACGTCTTGAAGCGCTGGGCGAGGTAGCCATTGCGTCGACGCCGCGACTGTCTCGATCGTGTGCGGCGAGAGTTCGGGAAACAAAGAGGCGCGCATGATTTTCAGCCCGTCCCTGAGGTCGCAAATTTCTCGCTGGCGCGCTTCTTGCGCACGCACCCACGCCGCGTTCTCCTGGTTGTTGCAAAAGGAACATCTTCATCGAGCAAATTGAGGAATTGACGACGCTAGCGTCGAGTGCGCTGTCTATTTTGAGAGTGTTTTTTCTGAAAATAGACGTGTAGCGACAGTGATATTTTTGTTAAGGAAAAACCACTTTTTCATTAAGAAGTGACGCTTTTGGGACCCGAAGTGATTATTTTGACTGTGCTTATATTTTGTTAAGTACGGTAGTACGTAGTGTTACAGCGCAAGCTTGGGCTCCCTAGCGAAAGTACTGGTTCGAGCCGAGCCCACCGTAGCTGGCCCCAGTGCCGTAGCCCTGACCTTCCCCGTACGCGTTGCCGCCAGCGTACCCTTGTCCTTCGCCGTAAGTGTTGCCGCCACCGTACGTGTTGCCAACGCCGTAGCCACGGTTGTAGCGCTGGCCATAGTTGGCGCCACCATTACCACCACGGAGCCCACTGTAGCCTGCGCCATAGCTGGCAGCACCGCCATAGCCGCGGCCGCCATAGTTGGACGCGCCATAGCCCTGGCCGTACCCCTGGCCATATCCGCCACGCAGGCCGTAGCTGTCCCCGTTGTAGTTGGTCTGGGCGTTGTATCCGTTGGCTTCCTGGCCGTACCCATCTTGAACGTCGGTTGATGCAGCAGTCATGGCGCTCAAAGCGATCGCGGCGAGCATCGTTCGGAGGAGGCAGTTCATCGTTGTCGTGGAGAGTCGGAGAGAGCAAAAGGCAAAGTGATGATATGGTGCAGACTCGTACCGAGATTAATATTGAGGTGCATGGACACCGCGACAGAGTATATGCGCTCAAGGACGCGTTTATACTGGTAGGAACCTCCTGGTTACCCAACCACCGGGATTGTTCGCCTGACCCATTTTGG